TGCAAATTTAACATAGTTAATTCTAAGATCCATAAGGAAGAAACACGCTCAGGTGCACGCTGGGGTGGGGTGACTCTCTGCACAGCACAGAATGAGGGGATGGGGGTCCCTCACTCCCCTCAGGGAGGACCTGGAGGTCCCTCACCCCCCTCACTGAGGGTCTGGGGGCCACATGCCGTGATCCTGAGCTGAGTTTCCCAAAAAAAACCCAGCTTTCCCCTGTCACGTGCTGCCCCAGCAGCCTCAAACACCACATTCACTTTTATTCCCTGCCTGTCTCTCCCCCTCTCACTCCACATCCAACCCAGGAGTTCAACCATTCTGAGGCCATCTGGGACTTCTGCCCTTGGCCAGAGTTGCTCCAGGAGATTGAGATTTGTGCTTTGGGCTTTAACCTCCATCAGAAAGGTCTGGTCTTGCTCCCTGTGTGCTGTGGGAAGTGGCAGCTGGAGGGATATCAGGCTGTCACTGCTCTTTCCCCTGCCCTGGAATGTCAGAGCTCCATGGGAAAGACTGGAGCTCTTGTTCTTCCAAAAATCTCTCTGCAAACCCCCCAGTCCCTGTTGTCTCCACAGCAGGAGTTTGGAGTGGTGTCACATCAGTGTGACAGAGCAAACACCCTGAGCGAGGTTTGGGAGGGAATTTTGGGGTGGAATTTTGTTTGGAATTTGTGGATGTCCCACCTTGGGTCATGGTGGGACAAGTTGAATTTAGCAGGAGAGGGACTAGAGGAGGTAACAGCCAAGCCCATGACAGGGGTGATACCATCCTTCTCCTTGGAAATTCGCTTCCAAAGGTTCAGTGCTCTGCCTGGGAAGAGCAGCAGCTCAGGTTTTGTTCCCTCTGGGTGACCTGGAGGTATCACCCAGAAGGAAAGGGACCTGTTGGAGCGAGCCCAGAGGAGGCACCGAGATGATCAGAGGGCTGGAGCAGCTCTGCTGGGAGGAAAGGCTGGGAGAGCTGGGATTGTTCAGCCTGGAGAAGAGAAGCTTTGGGGTGACCTGATTGTGGCCTTGCAGTGCCTGAAGGGGCTACAAGAAAGATGGAGAGAGACTATTTCCAAGGGCCTGGAGCAACAGGACAAGGGGTAAAGGCTTCAAACTATCTCAGAGAGTGGGTTTAGGTGGAATATTGGGAAGGAATTCTTCCCTGGGAGGGTAGTGAGGCCCTGGCACAGGTTGCCCAGAGAAGCTGTGGCTGCCCCTGGATCCCTGGAAGTGTCCAAGACCAGGTTGGATTGGGCTTGGAGCAACCTGGGACAGTGGAAGGTGTCCCTGCCCATGGCAGGGGGTGGAACTGGATGGGCTTTAAGTCCCTTCCAACCCAAACCAGTCTGTGTTTCCCTGATTCCGTGATCTGACCCAGCCGGGCTCACCAGCCTCAGCCCACCTTAACACACCAGAACCCCCCCAAATCCCAGACGAACGTGGAGCTGTGGGGTTGTACTGGTGGCACTGGTGGCACTGGCCACTAGATGGCACGGAACAACGAGCCGGGAGCCGGTTGTTTACTCCGGGGAGGCCGGAACGAGGAAGCGAAGGAGCCTGGAGCCTGGTTCCATCCCTTCCTGCATCCCGAGCCAAGGATCCAAGGCAGGCAGATCCAAGGCAGGGTGGGGTTTGCCGGGTGTCTGTTGGAAGAGAACTGTTGCTCTCTGTCTTGTCCTGGACTTGCCTGTACAGGCAGAGCTGCCCCAAATAACTCCCGGGGCGGGGTGAGGAGGAGGAGGGGGGGAGAACAGACTCTTTTATCCTCTTTTCCGAGGAACGGGGCGTTCTGGTTTCTCCTCCTCTCCTGGGACACGACAGACGCCTCTTCCACGTGGTGCCACTTGAGGATGGCTGGGCTGGAGGGATCCCAGCTGCAGCCAGACCCCCACGGAGCCGCTGCCGAGCCGGGAATGCGGTGCTGGAGCGGGACGAGGCGGGTCCCTGTCCCTCCTCCCAGTTACATCATGGCCAGAGAGTTGTTGTTCAGCTTCAGTGCTGGATTCTCACTCCCTGGTGGGTTGTGTCCTAGGGGGAAGCCCTTTGTACCCCAGAAAAACCCTGAAACAACCCCAAAGCAGCATCCAGAGGTGGCTGCTTCGAAACCGTGCACCTGAAGACTCTTTTTTTTTGGTAATAAATGTAAAATGGGTGAGCTCCTTTTTTCCCCTCGGCTGCTCTGGTGGCTCACACCCCGCAGCCAGCTGGCTCCAGACCTGCCTTGCTGCTCCCTCCACACCCCAGAGGAGTGAAGGGTTGGGGTGACTCCCAGCTGGAGGAGAAACCTGGCCACAGCTGCCTTTTTTTCTTCCCAGAATTGGTTGTTCAGCAGCATTTTAACTCCCCACGTTTGTCTCTCTAGTCCCACTTGTACAAGGGAAGGAGGTGCTTGTTTCCTCACCCTCTTCTTCCTTCATTTTCTGTGAGCCTTTGAGGTAATTGTGGAACTAAATCTTTGTGGGTCCCAACTCAGAATACTCCGTGAAATTCCGAAATTGAAACTACAGTTGCTTGTGGGCCCGGGTTGTATTTTGGGGAGGAAAAGCCCCCCCTTTTTCACAGCTAGTTACAAATAATGCTTTCAGCAAAGACTCCTGGAGCTCTCACTCTCTCCAGAAGTGACGGAAACGCTCAAATGCCCTAAAAAGTGACGGAAAAGTGCCGGGTTTTGCCCGTGTCTTAGCGTGTTGCTCCCCAACAGGATGGAGACAAGTTCTGGAGGATGCCCGAGTGCTACATCCGTGGCAGCACCATCAAATACCTGCGGATCCCCGACGAAATCATTGACATGGTGAAGGAGGAGGTGGTGTCCAAGGGCAGGGGCCGTGGTGGGATGCAACAGCAGAAGCAACAGAAGGGCCGTGGGGTTGGAGGAGCTGGACGAGGTAACGATCCCGTTTGATTCCCAGCTGGGAGAGGGGCTGAGCGGGATCCCCTGCCTTTGGAATGTCACCTCTTGTGCAAGGATCAGCTCCTGCTTCTGGGCTTTAGAGCCAGGGCTGGGAGAAGCTGGAGCTGTTCCTGTGCAGGATCCAGTCGAGCGAGTGCGTAAGGGCAGCGTCTGCCAAGGCACGGGGAGGATCCGTGCCAGGGATGGGCCTGGGGAGGATCCGTGCCAGGGATGGGCCTGGGGAGGATCCGTGCCAGGGATGGGCCTGGGGAGGATCCGTGCCAGGGATGGGCCTGGGGAGGTTCTGGGGTTGG